TGTGTGTGTGTGTGTGTGTGTGTGTGTGTGTGTGTGTGTGTGTGTGTGTGTGTTTTGTGTGTGTACAGCGAGATGAGTTCACCTCATCATAAGATGAGGCAAGCCGAGTTTAAATACTGACACAACACAATAAATGCCAATGTTCTGGATAGTTTTGGATGGAACGAGTACCAAACACGAGTCCAATGAATCGTGTCGTAATCTAAAGAAGGCCAGTACCATCATCGCTCGTTCAATTCATTGCTGAAACTATGAAAAAAATAGAAAAATGTAGAAAAACTACCATTCCCTCACCGAAAAGGGGCAGAATCACTTATCTGAAAAAGGGGTTGTCAAGACGATGTGGGGAAGAAGGGGTGGCGGGAAGGCGCAGGGGAGAAGTGAGGGAGATGGGGGGCAAACGAAGACAGCCCAAAAAGAGCTGAAGGTCCATGCATGAGGGAGGGGGTAATCATAACAAGTTGAAAAGACAACGCAAGCTGCATGCTATGAGACTGGATAACCAGGGGAAATTTCATATTACGAATCGGACCATTCGCAGTCAAGGAGGGGAAAACTGAGAGAGAGAGAGAGAGAGAGAGAGAGAGAGAGAGAGAGAGAGAGAGAGAGAGAGAGAGAGAGAGAGAGAGAGAGACACGCTACATGGCACACAAGCAAAGAGCTTAGAGCGCAGTAGGCAAGTCATGCGGATGGGCGGCAAGAATGACATGTAAAGCAAGCATGATGGGTGGTAAGGCAGCAGTGGAGCGCAGACAATGCAGTCCACAGGCACATCACCTACTCACATCACAAATAAACCCACTAACTTTAGGACTAATGCTATTCTAAGAGGATTGAACGAGTGGTTCCGACACGCACAGAACAGACGCCATATCATGTGGTATTTTTCCACTACTTCATGTCAGTCTCTGGCCAAAATGTGCGCAGCAAAATTCAAACTTGGCACTAGAGCTCAAAATGTGCGCAGCAAAATTCAAACTTGGCACTGGAAGGGATCTGGGTAAATTAAATCGAAATTCTTTTGCCTCAGGGTTACATCGCAATTCTTTACCAAACTAAAAGTAAATTAAATTAAAAGCTAGGTTGTTTTTCTGGCCGCCCGGGCACCCAACTCTTGCACGGATACACGCCCGGGTGCCCGGCCGGGCGTGACCCCCGGGCANTTTTTCTGGCCGCCCGGGCACCCAACTCTTGCACGGATACACGCCCGGGTGCCCGGCCGGGCGTGACCCCCGGGCAGGGTTCCGGGCAGTCCCAGCGCAAAAAAAAAAAAAAAAAAAAGAAAAACGAAAGGGAAAAAGTTGTACCCTAAAACTACAGGCTTCTAAAAGGGGCCGTCAATTCGATTCATCAACAGCAGGCCTCCCCCCGCTTGGCTACCGCGCTACCCCACGCCCCCCTTTTTTTTTTTTTCAAAGATCTCAAGCTGGGAAAGGTACTGTTGGTTTCAGATGGTAGTTGTGGAATGAATCATCGTGTTGCACCTATCCACACCTTTTTGCTGTCACAGGAGACCATGAGGTGTTTTCTCCATCTTAAGATGCTTTTTTTCGTTGGGGGGTTTTTTTTTTTTTCCCCCCCCCCCCCCCCCCCCTCCTTTCTGGCTGTGCAATGCAGGTCTCCGAACAAACAGATACACTCAGAGTCCTCCGCACAGATCCAGTAGATTACCTCGTGACGCCACGTGTCATCGCGTGCTGCATTGCTCTGCCGGTCCTGACGCTTATGTGCTTTAGTGTGGCTATGGGAGCCAGCGTCTTTCTTGCGGAGGGTGTGTACAATGTCAGCGCCAACATCATTCTCGATTCTGCGGCACGGGGCCTTCAACCGTGGGACATCATCAGTACCTTGATAAAATGCGTCGTATTTGGTGCAATTATTGCCGTTGTGAGTTGTACATGGGGAGCAACGACAACAGGTGGTGCAAAAGGCGTCGGTGAATCCACTACTTCTGCCGTCGTGATTTCTCTTGTCTGTATTTTCATCGCCGATTTTGTTTTGTCCTGGTGCTTCTTCCAGGGAAGTGGAGATGCTCTCAAAGCTGCCTTGGGATAGCTGAGGGAGGCTAGTGACGTACTCTGCCGGTTAGTGCAAAAGTTGTTGTTAAGCTGTCCCCTTCGCGGAAACGGTGCAGAGGATGACTGTTGATGTTTACCAATAAACACACAACAAGCCTTCATTGTGGCGTCGTCTGTGGGGCGTTCGCTGATATGCAGCTTGGTCAGTATTTTGGAGTTTCCAGGTGAGGCTACGTTGGCTTTCTTCTTTTTTCATGTGTAAATCCTCCCCCAGTTTCATATTGTAGTTGGGTGGCGACAGCTGGGCTTGTAAAGCAGCAGCTTTCCTTTTTCCTTTGCTGGGTCACGAGGTGTACCACTATTCTTTCCATCAGCAACGTCACTTTTTTAGTACTCTTGATCCCAACTGCTTTATCTCTGCCTCTTTATGTTCCTCTTTCTCTGCC